CCGAATGGAAGTACTTTGTCCCTACTAAAGGGTACGAATATCTTTTCACTCACCCCCCTCTGTGTTCCTTTGTTGTGGAGGTGGTGAATGAAAAAGAGAGGGAGGGTCAGCAGGGGCCCGTGCCCAAATCAAGAGATGCTAAACGCCTTGATTTGTTTGGGAGAATCAACAGGGGACCTTTTTCTCCGGATCGCTAACCAGCTTGAGATCCTGAGCCGGTACAGTTATAACTCATGGTCTGCGGTTCAAAAGTTCAAAGAGCTTCTCCCGTCTGAGTCAAGGGCTGAACTGGGGGCCATCGCTGAGGAGGGAAGAATCGTAGCCTGGATTCCCTCCAGGGTTCTTTGGATGCCACGGACTCAGCAGTGTGTACCCTGGCATCGGGTATTGCGATGAGACGCAATGCCTGGCTCCAATCCTCGGGTCTCCCCCCGTAAGTTCAGCAAACAATTCAGGACCTCCCATTCGATAGACATGGCCTGTTTTCTGAGCAGACAAACTCTAGACTGCATAGCCTGAAGGACTCCCGTAACACCATTAAGACCCTCGGCATGCATACCCCGGTGACCCAAAGGAAGTCTTTCAAACCACAGACCACCCAGCAGCGGTCTTTCCCCGCAAGGCCCAGGTAGGACTTCTCCCGCAGGAGGAATAGATATAGTCAGCATGGGCCATCGCGCCGCCTCCTGGGCAGGGCCAGGGACAGTCCAAGCCCCCTCCAGGCCCTAAGCACCACTTTTGAAGGTGCACACAAGGCCGAATTACCAGTCCACAACCCGGACAGTTATCCTCCCTTCCTGAACCGTCTATCCCGCTTCTACTGTGCATGGTCCCTTATTACATTGGACCAGTGGGTACTCCGCTCAGTAGAGGCGGGATATTCTATCCACTTCTGCTCCTTCACACCCTCCCATCCCCCTTGCACGTCCCTCTTCAGGGACCCCTCTCTCGAGCAACCTCTCATCCAGGAGGTTCAAACTCTCCTCACTCTAGGAGCAGTGGAAGAGGTGCCCCAGGAGCTCAAAGGCAAGGGTTTCTACTCCCATTACTTCCTCATCCCCAAAGCAAAGGGAGGCCTAAGGCCAATTCTGGAGCTAAGGGAACTCAACAAGTTCATTGTCAGCCTGAATTTCCTCATGGTCTCTTTGAGCACAGTCATCCCTTCTCTGGATCCGGGAGTCTGGTATGCCACCCTCGATATGAAGGATGCCTATTTTCACATATCTATCACCCCATCTCATAGACGGTTCCTCTGCTTTGTGGTAAACAAGGTACATTATCAATTCACGGCTCTCCCATTCAGTCTATGCATGGCTCCCCGTGTCTTCACCAAATGCACGGCGGTCGTGGCGGCCTTCCTTCACGGCCATCACGTGCATGTCTTCCCTTACCTGGATGACTGGCTCCTCTGAGGCCACTCTCGTTAGCAGGTAGAATCGCAGGTGCAAATGGTCAGAGACACGTTCGAATACTTAGGCATCATTCTCAACTTCAGCAAATCCGTCCTCACCCCGACTCAAAGAATAGAGTTCTTCGGAGCAGTTCTCGATGCCAATCAAGCGAGAGCATTCCTCCCAGAGGTGTGGCGTCTTGCCCTCTTGCAGATAATCAGCAGCCTTTGCAGTTTTCCAACCACCACAGCGAGGCAGTGCCTCAGGCTGCTGGGCCACATTGCATCCTGCACCTATGTGGTGCAGCATGCCAGATTGCGACTCAGGCCTCTGCAAGCGTGGCTCGCATCCGTGTATAGCCCACGCCGCGACAGTCTGGACATGGTGCTGACCTTTCCAAGGCATACCCTCAATTCCCCACGATAGTGGCTCGACCCCCGCATGGTGAGCACCAGGGTCCCTTTCCACCTTCCCCAGCCCACCTTGACTCTGGTAATGGATGCATCTGCACTGGGTTGGGGAGCGCAACTCGGAAGCCTGACAACTCAGGGCTTATGGCAAGTAGAGGAACTGGCTCTGCATATCAACATCAAAGAGCTCAGGGCGGTCCACCTTGCATGCCAAGTGTTTCTGCCTCACTTTCAGGGTCAGTGTGTAGCGGTGCTCACAGACAATACCATGACTATGTTTTATATAAACAAGCAAGCCGGAGCCCGATCGTCTCCTCTCCGTCAGGAAGCCCTCCTACTGTGGGAATTTTGTCTAGCCCACTCCATCCTTCTCCAAGCTTCATTCATTCAGAACGTGCTGACGGACAGCCTGAGCAGACGGTTCCTTACGCATGAGTGGTCGATTCATCCGGACATCATCCACTCAATCTTCCGCAGTTGGGGATTTCCCTGAATCGACCTGTTCGCCATGCAGGCCAACAGGAAGTGTTCAACCTTCTGTGGATCTCATCCTGGATCACGGCGTTTATTCACGCTTGTTATGACTTGGCGAAGGTTCCGCCACCTGCCGTTACGTCTCACTCCACCAGGGCGCAAGCCTTGTTGACAGCCTTCCTGGCCCACGTACCTCTTCAGGAGATCTGCAGGGCTGCCACGTGGTCTTCAGTGCACACCTTTATGGCGCACTACACCATTGTCCACCAATCTCAGAACGATGCGGCCTTCAGCAGAGTGGTTCTTTGATCTGCAATACCTTGACTCTAACCCCGCCTCCGAGGTACGGCTTGGAAGTCACCTAACTGGAATTGATATGAGCAAGCACTCGAAGAAGAAAAAACGGTTACTCACCCTTTTTGTAACTGTTCTTTCGAGATGTGTTGCTCATATCTATTCCATTCCCCCCCACCTTCCCCTCTGTCGGAATAGCCGGCAAGAAGGAACTGAAGGGGGTCAGGCCAGCAGGGTCGTATATAGAGCGCCATACCGGTGCCAATCCAGGGGGCTCCACAGCTGGCCCGACGGGTAGCTGCTAGGGAAAAGTTTCCGACAGCCGTGCACGCGGCATGCGCACATACTTACTGGAATAGATACGAGCAACACATCTCGAAGAACAACAGTTACAAAAAGGGTGAGTAACCATTTTTTATATATGGTAATAAAAATGTCTGTTATCAACTGAACAATCAAATCATTAAGCTTAGCTGGTTTCATGTAATCACATATTTTGTCCAATTTAACTTTAGAAGGGGAATATATTCTACAATAATGGAATATATTTTTCTGTGCCTTTAAAGATGCAGAATGCTTATTGCTGGTTCTTGCTGTTGGATGGCTCTTGTTATCTCCAGCAAAGTTACTTGAGGGAGTCCTGGTGTCATTCTGAGGAAAGTAGGAGCTGAAATAAGAAAGTCTTGCAGGGAGAAACCTGAGGCTGAAGGTTGGCTTTTTTTCATGTTGTTTGAGTTACCAATAAAGCCAACCACCAAGAAGAAGGAAAATTTGGACTTTTGTTTGTATATTCTCTATTTAGGCCAGGATGGGAAGATGAGCTGCTGCAAATCAGTTTTTTCTGTTCCAATGCACTTAAAGTCTGGGATCATCTAAGGGAATGAAGCATATTAAAAGAAATACATTATTTAAGCACAAATAGCACATTAAAATATAATTATTATTATAAGCCCATTAAAAATCTGGATACACAATGCTTTTGCATAATATCTTTGTGATAAAAAATAATAATTTTAAAACTAGCTTTTCTAATGTCACTTTGTACTTAAACAAAGACTGTTGGAGAATATGGCATCCTTCTATGCACCATTTATAAAAAATAGAATTAAAAAAACAAAGAAACTTTGATTATAATGAACAGGCAGAATAATAAATGAAAATTTTAGGTCTATGTATAAAATGCAGTTGTTTATCTAAAATTAATCCATATCTCATAACTTTGAGAGCAGAATATATGGGTTGTTTTTCTTTGGCTCCATCAGAAATATTGTCCTCTAAATATTTACATTAATACATTAGAAACTTTGAAATAAAAGTGATATAGCTTCCTTGACATTTTTGCTGCTAAGCTTGGAGACTATAAAATTTTCAGCCTCTTACCTTACCTTGTATGAAGTTCATGAGCCATATTCTTACAGCTATTAACAGGTGGAGCTTAGGGTTAATTTATGACTCATTTATCCATGTTTATTTTTTCTCATGATTGAGCTTACGTATTTCTGGAGGAAGGCATAGGCCATAACGTATTCTATTCTAAAAGCTTTTATATACTATGTGTTTTTTCTGAGCTGGAATATTTTGTTTCTCTCATTGCACAAATCTAATACATTCTTCTTCTTCTTATTTAAGAAACTAAGGGAAAGATTGCTGTCTTGTCTTTAGGGATGCTTAGGAATGTAAGGGGGAGTAAGACCCGTCCACAACCCTTCATGACTCCCTGCATCTCCACTGCAGGATTATTTTAATTAATGCCATGGTTGGCACATGCAAATGGCTCCAAAGCATGGATTAAGAGGAAGGAGGAGAGAGAGAAAGAGAGGGAGTAACCGTGAAGTCCATGTTTCATCATTTTCACTTTTTGCCAGAAATTACTCTTGTATTATGGTACTCACTGATAATTTAAAAACAGATCCTGTGTGGTGCTTATAAATAATAGGAAAATGTTGCGTAAATGAGAGGAAGGTCCAGAGACCTGTTATTTGTGTGGTTAAGTCTCCAGGAGGCAGAGATAAAGAACTGATTGGAAAATATATTTAATTTGTAGCATTTAAGTCTTTCTTGTTAGGTATTTCTAATATGAATTTTTAGTGACAAGCTTACTTGGATTAAGCAAAGTGTGTTTTAAAACTATATGTCCAAGACTGTTTCTAACATGACAGAATTCAAAGAAACGTTGCTAAAAATTGCATTATATCATGTAATACATGTATTCAGCTAAATGTCATGTGAAATATTTGGATCAAGAGAGAGCCCATTCTATTAATTTGTTGGCACATAGTCTTTTCATGATTTTATGACACCTGCCACAATTTGCAACTGGATGACTATTCAAAGTGTAAATGATTTTTCAACTATCACAAGAAGTATTCCTAAGTGTTTTCTGATTTATTTAAATGAGAAACAATAGCATTTTTTAATTTTATTTTATCAGGCAGGAAGCACTGCTTGCTGCAATCAGTGAAAAAGATGCAAACATTGCCTTGCTTGAACTGTCTGCTTCAAAGAAGAAGAAGACTCAAGAGGAAGTAATGGCTCTTAAACGAGAGAAAGACAGATTAGTGCATCAGTTAAAACAGCAGGTGGGAGAACATTCATTTTACTCTTCTATTGGGGGCTGCGGCTTGTTGGTATTTTCATTTTCACTGTTTTATTCTAACCTCATATTGAAAGTCTTCAAGCCAAGCCTACCTTGTACCAGCAGCTGTGCAAGGTAGGGTAAGAATAGTGTAAATGTTGCTGTATTATTACTTAATTGATGGCTGTAGTATTTAGATGCATGTTTGCTTGGCTCATGTTATATGCAGCCAACACACTTTCTGTTTTCCCTCTTCCATAAAAGCTGCCACCTTCGTCATCACAAAAGACATCAAAGAGCAGATGCATCGCTTCGAAGCTGTTTAGATATGTGTACATTTGTAGTAAGTAGTTATTTGTTCAGAAGGTTCCATGTTTTCTGAGAGGTTATCTGGAAATCATCATTGTGATTAAAACAAACCCCAAAATTAATAAAAATACTTTTATCTTTGTTATTATAAATACACTGTAGCAGATGAGTGCTTAGTTACAGGCTCTAGAAATAAATTTTGCTACATGAAAAACTCTGTAAATGTCATTTTATTTTCTACCTTACAAATGAGGAAAATTACCATAGTAAGCAGCATACAGTATCTTGGACATCTCCACTGATTAATTTCAATAATGTGAACACACATTGTACGCTGACTACTCTCTGATTTCATCATAGCACTTGTAGGTACCGTAGGCTCAATAGCAAGCCAGTGAGGGAAGGATGCTCAGATAACCTAAGTAGTAACTATCTGTGTCGTGTGTCATATGAGCATGTTGTCAAACACCTTCTCTCCTTTAGTAATGCTGAGCAAAGAGATGAGAAGGCTGTTTTCAGACCGTGACTGGTAGATAGTGTTGTATTTGGTGTTTTCCTTTGTTTGGTAGTGTCATCATTGAGTTTTGTGATTGTTACCTGAGAAGCAGGAAAATATCACAAGGCAAAGTCATACTCCCTTCAGCCTCTCAAAGAAATCAATCAGTGGGTCATTTCACAGGTGAGCATGCCATGTTAATACTGTAGTTAGACAATGTTATGATTCTTTATTCTGAACCATACATTGCATACTATAGGTTTTCATTCACTCAGCAACAGAAAATTAAGGAAAACCCTTGCTTCTTAGCTAAGTTCCCTATAGCTCTGACCTCATGCACCTAATCATTATAGCTTTTTCCCACAGGTCTATAGAAATAGGAAACAGCCCCTGAGCATGAACATATCATCCATTTGTGATGCTGACTTCATCACAGACATTGCTGCCAAGTACCTGGGTTCCAGCCATGATGCACATATGTCTCAGGTCAGTCAGCTATTTAGGAGACATTTCAGCCAATGCCATATACCCAGTAGATACATCAACATTTGTACTTTTTCATTCTTTTTACTTATTGATCCCAGGATTTCCCATGCTGCAGCCAAGCAGCATGGATTCAAACAAGGATAGGTTCTTTTTCTTTTCTTTCTTTTTTCTTTCTTTTTGTTAGATGATAGCAGATATTTCCTGTGACCACTTCAGATAAGTCCCTTCTTTCCTTCTCCTTCATCTTTCCTGACTGAAGAGTGAAATAATAGAGCACCTTACCTTTACAATGTTCGTCAACGATATTTTTGAAATGCTCTCTAGATACCTATACACATATTGGGGTATATCTCTTCAACTGATTTCTGTGAAAGTTTGCAAAACATCCATAATTTCCTTCAGCCACACTGTAGAAACAGATAGAAGCAAGAAGAAGGAGAAGAGAGTAGCTAGAGAAGCATTATTTTGGATAGTTTAGATTAGAAACCAAGTACTACATGCTACTTCACTATTTATAGCTTTTATACACATTAAATTGATGCCAAAATTACCTCGTTTTATTGTCCTGGACATCTCAAGAAGAAAGACAAAACACGGTGAATGTGGTTTAACTAGGCTGCAACTTTATTAAGTAAAACATCTGGGACTCCTCTGTGTAGGTCATCCTTCCTTCTGTAATCTGTGCAATCTGGGGGAGGGCTGATATCAGTCTTCATTGCAGGTCACTACTACCCTCTCCTCATGCAAGAGTTAAGGGTATAGGGAAAAGAGGTTGTCTCCTTGCTGTATCGGACATTAGAAACCCTGACCCTGTTCCCCACCTTTTTTAGGAGATGCGTAATCTGCTTCCAATTCTGATTTATCAGGGGAACCAGACCCTGTTGAACAATTAACTATGATGGGCATCTGCCAAGTTGTGACATTAATTTTACAACCTAACCTATCCACCAGGTCCCTGGGTGACTGAGAGGAGAAAGTATGGCAAAACAAAACAATAAAAAAGCCCAACCAAACAAAAAATAAAACCAAAACATCCTGCCCAGACCAATCTGGCAGTGAAGGAAATACTCCTTTCCAGTGCAGAAAGGTGACTAGATAATGTCAAATAGCAAGGCTACAAAAGCCAGTCCTACTCTATTCCCAAGTGAGGGAGATATTTCCTCCAAGGCACAGGATGGCATCTCAGGCAGGGGGACAGGCCTGTAAGACCTCCCACTGGGTGCACAGGAGCAAATAGGCTTACACTATACTCCTCTGTCTAGCCAATCAGCCAAGGAGCACACCTTGTCAGGCCCACAAAAAGGCTGGGTGCCCATGGGGGGTGGAGAGGAGGTCAGTCCTTGAAGTGGCCAACTTTTCCCCCCCATACTGTCTCAGAGAAAGCCTCCTCATCAGTGAGGCTGCAGTGAAAGTGGTAATGGGGGGAAAGGTTTACATGGGGACCCACTATCAATAGACTGAAGAGGTGTCGTTGAGAATCTCTTTAGCAGAACAAAGAGTAGACTTTTTTTTGTATCACAAAGAGACATCAGTAGGTGATAGCAAATGAGGTTAGAAATGGGTAATTTAAGGGTTCCAGTGCCTAGACTGTCTTTGCTCACAGGGAGTTTTCAGCTTCTGCCTTTTATGGTACTGTGTTCATTTCCTGTACAAGAATTCAACCATAGCTTGGGTAGCAAAGAATATGCATGAAACAGATTTATCTCCACATTGTATTGCTGCATGATCTATAACGTTCTGGTTATATCAATTCTTTTGCAGGATATTTCTTCATAACACTCATGCCACACTGGTACTTTCTACTGTGTGCCAGTATAAATAGAAATGTTTCTTTTTTCCCTTCTTTTTTATACCTTCCAATGGGAACCTTTGTGCTGCTCTTCAGGTTTTGGTCTAATGAACGCTAACTTTTTACTCTTTTCTGTTGAGCCTGCCTCTCATTTTACCTTCCTGTTAGACATATTTTAATATTACTGCTCCAAAAGAGAAAACAATAGTCATGTAATAAAAGCAGAAGCCCTCCCATATCACTTCTAGGTACAGACATGTGGTATGAATCAGGTACCAGGGGATAATTGCCAATCTCCTGTTTAAAACAGAATAGCTGATTTGTAATGATTCCAAAATGATATTACAGTTAGGGTTAGGTTGTGTTAGCACTTCCATTTACATCTCTGTTTTCAAAGATTAGTAACTTTAGCAAGCAAATAATTTGGTGTTTGAAATTAGATATGCTGGTTCTCTGTCAAGAGGTGGTTTATCTTTTAAAACTATAGAAATTTATTTGGCCTTTTTATGACTAACTTAAGAAAATACTGTTTGAATCAGCTGTTATTTTGAAAGTATCGAATATAGGCAAATCAGCTCAGCCTAAATAAAAACTGTCCTGAAACTTTGCCCAAAGTTCAAGATGCACCATTATATATCTCAGACCTGTTTCATTAGTTTTTTGCTTTCATTGCCATATTCTAAGGCTGGGTGGGGGGGTGTCTCTTTCTTTCTGTCTCACAAACATTCCCTGGCCCTGCTGTTGTCTTCTCCGGTGGCATCCCAGAATGCATAACACACCAGAGAAACTCTAGTGTGAAGCCCCAAAGAGCACAACATTGTGCACTGGGAGATGTGGAACCTAGCATGCCAGTCTGCTATACTGTCACTGAAGAATGATTGCAGTATCTCAGAAAGTCCTGATGCTACTGGTAGTGAAGGCCACTGTAATGTCTCTCTGGAAACTCCTGTTGCTTTTAATGGAGATGGGAAGTTGAAGTGTCTCATTTAGGAAATTCCTGTTTTTGATGAGCCACAAAGATCCTAAACTTCCACCAAAGAAATCTGCCCTGGGAGAAGGGAAAACCATAGAGGGTGATAAGAAGAAGGACTGTAATTCCCCCTGCCTTTCCAAGGAATCTTAATAATTGGTATGAGGAGCCCTGGAATAGCCTCCTGAAATCTCAAGTTTTTGGTGGGGGGACAGGGGACAGTCCTGTTGATGGGAATGAGATCCCTAGATTCTCTGATAAGGAGAAAATGTGAAGCCTCCCTCCTAATACCTCTGCCAGCAGGAGAGAGGGCCAAGGAGTTTCCCCAATATGTTCTGATCCGGGTTAGGCCTATGGAGGTAAGGTATGAGGGAAAGGTCATAGAACTTTAGTGGGGAGACCTCAAAATGTTTAGGGTCTCCTAAAATTCATTTAAAATGTCTAGGTGCTTATCTGGCAGGAACATCTAACCATTTGCAAATTCACCTACTGCTGCCGAAAACACTATACAGCAGAATCTGGTGACTCCCAGAGTGTGTAGTCATATAGGCATCCAAGATCTGCTTCATATTTAAAGAGATATGGGACTGTATGTAGTAGATTTTTATTATTGTGTTTTAACAGTTCAAGAGGTCAACTCTATTAAACTCAGTGGAGTAACCCAATGTATTGAGGTTTCTCATAGAGTTTTATTGTGATTGGATTAACGCCAAAAACCAGATTCTATCACAGTGCTGTAATGCATCACAGATTTACACTGAGATTGAATTGCCTAAATGCAAATGTGTCTGGATTTACCACAGGCTTACCCTGTGATAAACTGCTCTAATTGCTCTGATAGAGTCCTAAAGCATCATGGTGTATTTTGTACTTCAGATGGAAGCAGATTGGCTCTCCACAACACTTCCGCAAGATAGTTTCAAAAGAACATTAAGGGTGTACCACAAACTGATG